GCCCCGGCATCACTACAGAGAGCGCGCAGGGGAGCAGATAGAAACTGCAGGAAGATTAGAGAGGAGACCCATTAAACGCCAGGGAAAGATCCACTCAGCTTTCCCAAAGGTAGGGAGGCTGGGTGAATTTAAATAAAAAATAAAAATACCAATTTGGGAGTGTGTAAGAAAATGTGTGTGTATCAGAGTGTGGGTGTGTGTCCAGGGCCAGTGCAAGCAATTTTGCTGCCCATGCAAAAACACATTTGCTGCCCCATTTGCTCCACCCAATCATGCAGACTGCCACACACACTGACTCAAGTAGACACACACTGACCCATGCAAACTGACGCACATGCACTGACCCATGTAGACTGACGCACACCGACCCATATACACACACTGATCCATGCAGACACACACATACAGACACACTGAACCATGCAGACACATACAAACATATATACACACTGACCCAAGCAGACACACAATGACCCATACAGACACACACACTGACCCCTGCACACACACACTGATCCATACAGGCACACAATGACCTATACAGACAAACAATAACCCATACAGACACACACTGACCCATTCAGACACACTATAACTCATACAGACACACACACTGACCCACACAGACACACAATAACCCATAGAGAACCACAATAACCCATACAGACACTCAATGACCCGTGCAGACACACAACAACCCATACAGACACACAAAACCCATAAAGACACACAATGACCAATCCAGATACACACACTGACTCATACAGACACACACACTGACCAATACAGACACACACACTGACCCATACAGACACAAACAGTGACCCAGACAGACATTACACACATGACAGACACACACACCGAACCATACGGACAGACATTACACACATGACAGGCACACCAGACACACACACTGACCATACAGACAGACATTACACACATGAAAGACACACATTGACCCATACAGACACACAATGACCCATACACACACACTTACCCATACAAACAGACATTACACATGACATACACATATATTGACCCATACAGACACACACAATGGCTCATACAGACACACACACTGACTCATGCAGACACACATACTGACCCACACAGATACATATGTTATGACCCATACAGACACACAATGACCTATACAGACACACACTGTGGAGACAGGCTCAGGTACTGAGTGTAGTGGTGTTGTGGAGACAGGCTCCGGCACTGATTGTAGTGGTATTGTGGAGACAGGTTCAGGCACAAAGTGTAGTGGAGTTGTGGAGACAGGCTCAGGCACCAAGACTATGATGAGGCGTAATAGAAAGCAGTTGTTGTTGGGGGATTCTGGACAATAGGGGTCTTGTGAGATGTCTTCCCGAAGCTACTGCTCACAGAGTCAGGAGACGTATTTGTAATATTGTTAAGGGAATTGGATGTGCTTGTTCATCTAGGGACAAATGACTTGGCTTGCAATGAGGTTTCAAAGGTAAAGGCAGTGTTTTGTGTTTTTGCCAGTGATATACAGAAGGTTGCTTCCACACTGTCATTCTCTGAAGTTCTGCCTTTGTATAACACTCTGAATGACAGGCAGATGTGTAGTACGTTAACTTGTGGCTTGGTGAATGGTATCAGGAGCAAGGATTTGGCTTCATTTCTCATG